CTCCAGTCCTGATGCCACATTCCTCCTCATAAAGCCTAACTTCCCAAACGATTTGTTCTGGATATGTTTTGAAAAGGTATGGAGACAGCATGCATCCCTGATGTGCTCCTTTCTTCATTTTGAGCCTAGTAGTATTTCCCTGCTTTGTTCTGATGATTGCTTACTGGTCTAAGTTTTGCATAAGCACAATCAAGTTTTCTGGAAATACCATTTTCCTCAAGATTAGCCACAATTTGTTGTGATCCACACAGTCAAATATCTTTGCATAGTCAATGAAACACAGATAGACATTCTTCTGTTACTCTTCACTTTCTTCCAAGATCCATCTGACATTGGTGATGTCTCTAGCGCCATGACCTCTTCGAAACCCAGCTTGTATTTTTGGTAGCACTCTGTCAATGCACTATTCCAGTCAATTCTGGATAATCATCAGTAGAATTTTGCTATTTTGTTATATTAGTGATATTTTTCTATAATATCCACACTCGGTCCTATCATCTTTTTTTTTTAATAGGAATAAATATGGATCATCTACAGTCAGGTGACCAGGTGGTTGTCCTCCAGATTTCTTGGTACAAGCCGGTGAGCACATTCAGGGATGCATCTATTTGTTGAAATATATCAGTTGCTATTCCATCAATTCCTGGGCTTTATTTTTTGCCAAGTCCTTCAAGGCAGTCCACACTTTCTCCTTCATCACTATTGTCTCTTGACCATATGTTGTTTCTTGAAACTCTTCTGTGTCGGCCAATTATTTTTGGTACAATAACTCTGTATACTCCTTCAATCTTCTTTTAATGCTTCCCAATCATTTAATATTCTACCAATAAAGAATTCTTAAGCATTGTCACTCATAGCTTTAATTTGTTTTTTAGCGCCTTCAGCTTAAGAAATGGCGAGCAAGTTTGTCCCTTTTCCTTTTTCTTTTTTTTTCTTTTTTTAATTTTTTCCCCCTTTTTATTTTTAGACTCTAGTCTTTGCACATTTCATTATAATAGTTTGCCTTGTCTTCCCAAGGTGCCCTTTGAAATCTAGTCAGCTCCTTAACTTCTTGAATTCTTCCCTTTATTTTGGCTTCAAGGCATTCCAGTGCAATATTCAGAGTCTCTTCTGCTATAGATTTTGGTCTCTTCTTCCTTCTTTGTAATGACATTTTGCTTTCTTCATGGATATTCTTGATGTCTTCCTGCAGCTTATCTGGCCTTCATTCATCAGTGTCCCAGGCCTCAAACCAGTTCCTGAGTTGTCTTTTATATTCAGGATGATATACAGTAAAAATCAATTTATATAAGGTCAGAAATGTTCCCCTATGTTTCTGTACCTACTTTATTTGATACCAATTATTGCAATAACCAATAGAACCAATATCCACAATCAAGAGTTTTAATAAGAATGTTAACAGGGCTGTAATCCAGGTTGACACAAGATACAATCCCTCAGTGTAGACTCAAGCATTGTTGTAGGCCCTTTGACTTATAGTCTTACAGATTAATTCATTGTTACATAGCTCCTTCATTCCTGCTAGCTATAGCACTGTCCCTCAGTTCTCCAGCAAGTAGGGGTGAAGGCCTCTGGCTTTGGCTCCGTGAAACAGAGGTTCTAATCCAGCTCTGTCTCTTGTTGATCTCTTGTTCTCTCTGGAGGCTATATTGTTCTGTGTAGATCCCAGAATAACTGGTGTGGGAATCACTTACCACAAAGGATACATTGGGGTATTCCCTTTACCCTCTTCCTTGTTAGTGTTGAAATTCTCAAATTTCTGCAGCTTTAGCTCACTTTAAACCTACAAGAATATGAATCCCTTGTAGACAGATGTTGGGGACAGACAAATATCCTTATTTGTATGATCCCACTCAAGTCTGGGGAAATGTCAGTGTCAATGGCTAGGAAAGTAATTTTGAACAATAACCTCTTGACACCACACCAATCACAATGTTTGTCTCCAGGGACTTGTTTTTAAGTATTCTCATACTGACCCATAGTGACCTTTTGAACAATTTCTCTGAACTCTGCCCAATCTTGAGTCAGTTTCACTGGTTCTGATGTACCTTCCACCATTGCCACAGTAATTGTTCAATCCATCTCATGCATCATCCTCTTTTCCTCTGCTGATGCTCTACCCTTTCAAGTATGTCTTTCTCTTAAGTACTGGTCCTTCCTGGCAACCTGCTCAAAGTTTATGAGACAGAGCTTCAAAATCTTTGCTTCCAAGTATTAACCTTGTTTCACCCTTTCCAGGACAGACATGCTTGTTTTCTTGGCATTTCATGACAAGTTCAATACTCCTCTCCATCACCACAACTCAACGATGTCAATTCTTTTTCTGTCACCCTTATTCACTGTTCAGCTCTCATTTGCACAGCAAGCAATTAAGTTATGATCTGTATCAAGTGCACCATAATCTCTAGACTGACATTGTCGTTCTTTAGCACTTTAAAGAGTTTCTGACAGAAGGCTTTTCTTAAGAAACACATCTTTTGATTTTCCTGATTTCTAGTCCTATGAGTGTTGATTGTGGGCCTATGTAAGGTGAAATTATTGACAAAGTCAATCTCTTCTCTATCATGAGTATAGCAGATATAGAAAATATAGTTCGACATCCTCATTTCTAAAGAGCATCCTGACTGTACCTATCATTTTCAGTACCAAAAACAGATGTAAAAGTATTCTTAAATAAATGAAACTATTTTTTATAACTTACTATTTTTATTGCTCTAACCAATAGTATTTTACTAAATGCAGAGTATCTTTGAAAGTTTCGTATTCCATCATGTCAAGTTTATGTAAGGATTATGTAAGTTAGAATTAAAACTTCACACTTATAATTGCAAAGTGAGTGCATAGAGTTAGCCTTCCTCCCCACCTACTTTGATCTTGTCATACATACAGAATATATTTCCTTCTTAAACACGATTTACCATAGAGCACAGACTTTGACACTTCTCAGCTGCAAAGATGAGTAATCAAACAGTAACCTACACAGAATTGAATCTGACAAAGTTCCCCAAAAGCCAGAAAACCAAAATTAAGGATGCTAATTGCTCCATTTCAACTACTGAACAGGAAATAACTTATGTGGAATTAAACCTTCATAATGTGTCTCAGGATCTTCAAAATAACAACAGGAATCTCTACTGCAGAGGTAAAGCATGTCATTAATTCTTAATATAACTGCATTTTAAAAGTGTTATTTTAGTATTGAAGTGTGAGGGAAAAGTGAAAATAAGATTTGGAGCAAGAAGAGCCAGGTTAATGAAATGTGCTCATGAGTTTTCATTTTTAAGAATAGAAACTTAAATATGGATACTATTGTGTATTATGAAATTAGAAGATTCATTCAATTCAAGATTTGTAGAAATTGTTGCTTTTTGATGAAAAATTTATTGGCTATTATTTTATTAAAAATGCAATTATATTTATGAGAGGAAAATTAGAACAGAGAATGTGGGTTCAATCCCTCTATTTGTACATGAATTATTTTGTACCTTTGTGTCCTTCTGAATATTAAAATATTCTTAATATTAAACATACATATGTTTTCTCAGTGATTCTACTTTTCTCTTTACATATTTCTCATCATCTCCAGAGAAGCTTATTGCTGGAGTCCTAGGAATCATCTGCATTGCCCTGATGGCCAGTATAATAACCAGTACAGTTATGTTTAATATTCCTTGTAAGTTTTTGAATGTTTTTTAGGGAATATTCTCTTTAAGAATTTTTTAAAGCCCATATGTATTTAATAACTTTAAGGTCCTGTGTTTTTATATTTATACATGCATTTGTTTTATGTACTTTTCAATGTACTTTAAATTTGTCAATAAAAGGCATGACATGACATCAATGTGGACTAACTGTGGAAAAGTTTTATGAAACTTTTAAAGATATAAATAGCTGAATTTTCTTTTTTGTTGTTTTTAATTATCAATGTATATAAGTATTGTATATGCATATTTGTATATTTATTACATCTTAAAGATTTGCACTGAGAAACCAAACCCAAGGGCAATACTTTTTCATTGTTGAAGACAACATAAAATATTGTAAGGAGTGGTCAATTGTGTCTATTAGGTTATTAAAATTCTTTCCCCAAAACTTTATCATTAATTTTTATTGGTAAAATAGTTTAAGTATGCATTTTTTTTCTTATGTTGAATTACACATCAAATGCAAAACTAGAAAACAACAACAACTATTAGGAGTTATTATAGAGCTCATTACCTCAGTACTAATTATTTCCATTTTATAGCTAAAGAAACACTGAAACCAAATTATTTAGGAACAATAAGAATCAAAAAATGTATGCAATAATTTTTAAAGTTCTAATACAATAAAATTATCCTATGTTTCAATTTTTCCTTGTGAAGAAGGAATAGTAATAGGATATTTTTGAGAAGCCTTCTGAATACAATGATAAATTCCAAAAGTAGACATTCTATGATGGAATCTTTCATGTTCAAAAATTTTAAAAATTAATCTTCCTTTAATATCATAATTTTGCAATTGACTCAAATGTCCTGTTCTTATCTTCTATTTTGTTACATCTACTTACTGTGGGTTCAGAATTTACTGGACAGTATGTAACAACAGTAGTACAATATGAAAAACAAATGGTTTTAATATTATAACAAATTAATGTTTATTGATTTTCAGAACATGTTTTGCTTAAAGTTTGGTTTGCTTCTTTTAAATATTTCATGTTGTATATATACTTATATTTATGATATTTTATATGTCTTTATCTAATGTGCTTATGTGTATGTATCAGTTAGTTCTTATGTCACAATGCAAACTGTTTCTTGATATATAACTAATAATATTTTTCAGGTTATCCTTGTTTTCGTTGTCCTGATGATTGGTTTCCCTATTCCAACAATTGCTATTACTTTAGTATTGAAAAAAAAACCTGGGATGAGAGTCGGATTTCTTGTGCTTCTAAAAATTCAAATCTATTTCATATAGATAACGAAGAAGAGTTGGTAAGATTTAAATTATATGACATTTCAGAAGACATATTATTCCAATAGAAATGCATATAAAATATATTTGTTTCAGTAATACCAATTATTTGGAAGGAAGAGTGGCAGCCACTTCTGTAATAGCTTGCCTCCAGAAACCCTATGAACCTGGAGAGAGGAAGAAAGGCACCCAAGCATTGAGGACTCTCCTTCATAGGGTCGCTATGAGTAGCCTGCAACTCGACGGCACTTAACAACAACAACAATACAAATTATATCAAACAACTACACTGCCGTAATATTTGTTTCTTATTGCATTAAAGGACAAAGATTTGTCTATTTTGGAAACACAAAGGACACTCTATAGCAGTCAAAATCACAAATCAAAGTAGGAAGAGTTAAATCAGAATTCAATGTTCCCTCAGAACTAATGTCCAAGTTCTATTAATATACAGTTCAGTTTCCAGTTCTAAGATAACCTTGAACACATCTGAAAGGCAGGTTGGAAAAATTAGAAAGTATTTGGAAAACAGAAATACTAAATTAGGGGAGCTCTGGTGGCCTAGTGGCAAGAAACTGCAACTACAATCCCAGAGGTGCACGGTTCGAATCCACCAGATGCTCTGCCGGGGAAGGAGGGGCAATCTCCTCCTGTACCAGTCAGATCTGGTTTGATGGTACACGCACCCAAAAATAATAACATAAAAAAAAATAAAAAAAATAAAAAAAGAAATACTAAATTATGACTCATATGAGTATTGTAGAGGATACAGTTCACTCAGCATAATGCTCTCCAGTCCCTCCCAAGTTAAGTAATAATTTCTAAATCATTGTTCCTGCATGCTGTATATTATTCCATTGTATGAATGTACCATAATTTCTCAATCTATTCAATTGTGGTTGGCTTTCTGGGCTGTTTCCATGTTCTTGTGAGGGTGAATAATGCTGCTATGAGCATTGGTATATTTGTTTGTGCCTCAGTTCTCATTTTCTCAGGGTATATTTAAAGCAGTGGAATAGCTGGGTGATATGAAATTTCTGTGTTCAGCCTTTTGAGGAATCATCAAACTGCCTTCCAAAATGGTTGTACCATTTTATAAGGTGTGGATTCTATTTCAGCTTTCTGCAGGTGGAAGTCCAGTTCTGCCAGCACCATTTGTTGATGAGGTTGTAGTTTCCCCATTAAATAGCTTTCATTTCCTTGTCGAATATCAGTTGACTGTAGATAGCTGGGTCTATTTCTGGGTTCTCAATTCTGTTCCATTGGTTTATGTGTTTATTATTGTACCAGTACCATACTGTTTTGGTTACTATTGCTGTGTAATAACTTTTGAGGTCAGGAAATGCAATGCCTCACACCTCATTTTTGTTTCTCTGAAGCATTTTGTTTATTCGAGGTCTCTTGTCTCTCCAAATAAATTTGACAATTTTCCTTTCAATCTCCTTGAAAAATGAATTTGGTATCTGAATTGGGATAGTGTTGAGCATGTACATTTCTTTTGGTAGGATTGTCATTTTCATGATATTGAGTCTTCCTATCCATGAACAAGGCACATTTTTCCATTTCTTTATGCCTTTTATTGTGTGTTACAGAAATGCACTGTAGTTTTCTTTGTATAGGGTTTTTGTATCTCTAGTTAGACTCACTCCCATGTATTTCAACATGTGGCTGCTATTGTATATGGTATTACTTTCTTGATTTCCTTCTGTGAGTACTCTTTGTTACTGTAGAGGTATCCTACTGATTTTTGCACCCTACTAAATTGCTAAATTGGCCTACTAACTCTAACAGTTTGTTGGGTTTTTTTTTTTGTTGTTTATTTGTTTTTTTGTTGTTAAGTCTTTGGGGTTTTCTGTGTATCATCTCACATCATCTGCATATAGTGAAAGCTTAACCATCTCATGGTGATCTGGGTGCCTTTTATTTCCTTCTCTTATCCTATTGCCTTAGCAAGCACTTCCAATACAATATTGAATGGAAGTGGTGACATTGGGAATCCTTGCCTGGTCCCTGTTTGTGGGGGAAAAATGCTTTTAGTCTTTCTCCATTGAAAATAGTGTTGCTTCTTGGTTTTGAATGTATATTTTTCACTATGTTGAGGGAATTCCCTTCTATTCTAATTTGCTGAGTGTCAGGAAAGAGTGTTGGATTTTGTCAAATTTCTTTTTTTCATCAACTGCTAAGATCATACGGTTCTTGTTATTTACTTTTTAATATAGTGAATTATGTTGACTTTTTCTTATGTTGAACCATCCTTTCATACGTGTTATGAATCCCACTTGGTCATGGTGATTTTTTGTCGTTGTTTTGGATTCTATTGGCTAGGATATTGTTAATTATTTTTGCATCTATGTTCATGAGAGACATTGGTCTGTAGTTTTCTTTCTTGGTAATATAAAGATATTACCAAGATATTGCCTGTTTTTGATATTAGGGTCATGCTTGCTCCATAGAATGCTCTGGACGTATTCTTTCTTTTTCAGTATTTTGAAATAATTAAGTAGAATTAATGCAAAATTCTATCTGCATGTTTGGTAGAATTCAGCTGTGAAGCCATCTGGCCCAGGACTTTTCTTATGATTACCCAAGCTGTGTCCCAGAGGTTTTGGTAAATTGTATTTTCATTATCATTTGTTTCAAGGAATTTTTTTTATTTCATTCTTTATTTCTTTTATAACCTAATCCTGTTCTAGCAGAGAGTTGTTTAGTTTCCACATGATGGTTTTGTAAACTTTACTCTCCTGTGGTTAGTTCCTACTTTTATGGCATTGTGGTCTGAGAGGATACTTTGTATTATTTCAGTGTTTTTTAATTTTTCCAGGCTTTGTTTGTGTTCAAATATGTGATCGATTCTGTAGACTGTACCTTGTGTACTTGAGTGAAAATGAATTGAGTTTTAATTGGGTCTAGTACCCTGAATATATCCATAAGGTCGAGTTGACTGACTGTATAGTTCAGGGCTTCTGCATCTTTAAGTTTCTTATGAGTTGGTCTTTCCTTTAGTGATAGTGGTGTGTTGGAAACTCCTACCACTATTGTAGTGCTGTCTATTCGTCTCTTCAATTGTTTTATGAAGTTTACAGGTCTATCATTTGATGTATAAATGTTGACTAAGGTTATGTCTTCTTGATCTCTTGTGTCTTTAATCAGTATATAATGCCCTTCCTTAACTTTGATGATGGTTTTTATTCTGAAGTGTATTTTATTATAGATTAATATTGCTACTCGTGCATTTTTGAGGTTGCCATTTGCTTGGTATATCTTTCCCCTCAGGCTTTAATTTTTTGTCTCTTTTTCTCTTATTTTTTTTAAAATGTGTCTCTTGTAGGTAACATATTGATAAACTTTGTTGGTTTTTTTTATCCATTCTGCTACTTTTTTCTCTTAATTGCTGTATTCAGCCCATTCACATTAAATATGATTATTGTCTGGCCAGGTTTTATTTTTGCCTTTTTGTCATGTTTCTTTTTCTGTTGTTCTGGTTACTATAGTTCATGCATTTTCCTTTTTAGTCTTCATGTGCTTGACTTTACTTAAAATTTTTTTGGAGTTTTGGTCATTTTTTTCATAAAATCCTTTAGTCTCTTCTTTTCTGCAAAGAATCTAATGTCCCCTTCATATCTGATGGGGAGTTTTTCTGGGAATAGGATTGTTGGCTGGCAATTGTTTTCTTTCAACTTTTTGCTTATGGAATCCCATTGCCTTCTAGCTCTGTTGAGAAATAAGAACTTAATCTAATTGTTTCCCCTTTGTAGGTAACTCTTTGTTTTTCTCAGACTATTTTTAGAATTCTATCCTTATTTTTTAATTTGGAAAGTTTGATTATAATATATCTTGATGTTTTTATTCTGGAGGTTGGTCTATTAGGTGCTCCCTGTGCTTCTCAAATGTGGATTTTGCTCTTTTTTCAAAAGTATGGTTTGTTTTCTTCTAGTAGTTCTTCCACAATCTTCTCAGTGATTTCCATGTCACTCTCCTGTTCTGGAATTTCAGTCATACATGTTATTCCTTTTGATATCATCCCACATGATTCTAATGTTTTCTTCATTTTCTTTACATCTCATCTCTGATTTTTCTTCTAGTATATTTCTGGTGAGGCTCTTCTCTTTCAGCTCACTGACCCTCTCCATTTCTTCATTTCTACTTTGTTTGTCCTACCAGTGGGTGGGTCAACTGTGCCATTTCAGTCTTAATATTCTGGATTGCATTTTCATGCTTTTCTATTATTATCAGTACTGTGTTGTTGTACCCTCTCTGTCTTGGGGTGATTTTTTTTTAAGTTCATGTATCTCTTCATCTATCCTATCAATTCTTTCTTCCATCTTTTGCATTTTCCTCCATGGCTGTTCTAGTTGTTCTTCTTTCACATATTTCTTCTGGACTATTGTCTCTGAGGTGTTTGCTCTCTTATTCACTTCCATTGTTTCTTCCCACATTTACATATTTTCTGTAGTTGATCAAATAACTTTACATCAACACATTTCTTCTGGTTCTTTCTATCTGGGGTATTCATTGGGTTTGCTTTTTAGAAGGGTTATTCTGTTTTTATCATGATGGCTGAGGTAGATTGCTGCGTTCTTGACATTATATGAGTATTTTATTAGTATATATAAGGCTGTTGTAACTATAAAATTACCCAGTGTATGGCATTGTTTTGTGAAGCACCTATATATTTGTGTTCCCTTCTTGGTCCGTTAAGGGCCTGACAGAAGTTCTCCCCCCCTTCAAAAAGAATATCTTAGTGATAAAGCAGGAAACCTGTTGTTCCCTTCTGGAAGTTGCTCCTTGCCTGCCTCAACGTGTACTGGTCCTCCCTGCTACTTGAGCTTAAAGGTGTCCCACATGGTCAAGCTAGACAGCAGTTTTTCATCAAAAGCACCTTGATGATAAAACAGGTAGCCTGTTGTTCTTTTCTGGAAGTGGCTCCTCTCCCCCCTCAAGATATCCTGGTCCTCCCTGCTGCTTCAGCTTACGGGATCCTGAGTGATCAAGATAGACAGCAGTTTCCCTCCCAGCCTCAAAGTATCTAGTTAATCCACTGAGACAGATCCATGGTGGTGGCGATGGCTGGTGAAGTCATGCAGCAGCGGCTACATTTTAATTTCTTATTAAACAATGTCTTCATATTTTTCAGGGAAATAGATGACTTGTTTGTTCGGTTGTTTTGGTTTTTTTTCCCGACTAAGTGGACATTCTCATTGTTCTTATTCCAATTAGCCTGTTGCTGTAGAAAAATTCACTTTTGAAAATTGACCACTTGGGCTTTCTTCTGGGATGCTACTGGGTGGATTCAAACCTCCAATTGTTTTGTTAGCAGCTACACCTGTTAAACATTGGCACTAGCCAGAAATTACTATATCTAGGTACTTGTGGGGTATTTTTGCTTGCCTTTGTAACAGATTATTCAAACACTATAAATTTAAACAGAAATCTTATGGGCCTTGTTGTAATATGTTTTCATTCATTATGCTGGGTACACACTTCCTTCAATATGAGTCATTTCTTCATTTTAAAATCTTACTGATAAGATATATACCAAACATTGTTCAATTCAGTAAATATTATTTGGAAAACTCATGAGGAATAATTTTATTTTAAATATTAATATTTCTGTCCTTTCCATTATTTTTTTTTCATTCTGATGTCCATCATTATTTTTTCACACATTTTGAAGAATTTTCTTAGTATTAGTAAGAAAGCTTTTGCGTGATAAATTCTTATACATCTGGAAGTGTAATTCTTTTTCCTCCATACTAAATCTATTAATTCACTAGATATTTAATTCAATCAATCTATCTCTCACAGCTGTTACTTACGGTAATGTATGTGTTGTCCTTCACTATGTCTTTAAATGGAAGCTTCTATTAACAAAAAAATTTGTGAAAGGTAGAGTATTGAATATATCATGTACCTCCAAAAGAACAAAAAGTCTTTCTTGGAGAAGGTGAAATAAAATTCTCACATACTTTGCGTGCATGGCTAGGATAGGATAGTCCTTGGAGAAGAAAATCATGCTTGGAACGGTGGAGGGACAGCTCAGGAGAGGAAGACCCTTGATGAGATGGATAGACACAACAAATGAGGTAATGGGGTTAGCTCTGGATACAGCAGAATTCAGTGCTATTGTAGATAGGGTTGCTATGATTTACAGGCAAGTTGATGGCCCATAATAGCAACAAAAGGAGTAATTTAAGAATAGTTTGAGGTCACAAAACAAAAATTTTTACCTCTGAAGTTTATATCCGCAGTGACAATATTCTCTACAAAATCAAACTATGATAGATAAACATACTTTATTGAAGAGGTGTATATGGAGTTCTATTTAAATATTTAATGAACTAATTTTTTTTAAAAGTCTTAAATGATATACATTTTTAAGTATTACTACAAAAATTACTGAGTGCTACTATTGAAATCATTATTTATATAACAAACCTTTGTGGCTATTTATGATAATATAAAGTGTGACTTTCAGTGTTATGGAATGAAAGAAAAGAATACAAACATTTTTAAAGGAGTAAAATCTTTATAATTACTGTAAAAATGGAATTTTTATCTTTCTTTTTCTGATAGAAGTTTATAAGATTTTTATCACCTAATTCATGGATTGGACTTTCTCGTCAACATCATAATCATCCATGGCATTGGATTAATGGTACATACTACAACAAAAAGTAAGTTGTCTTAAATCATGTTCTTTCAATGAAGAAAAAAACAAAAAATATTAGATAAGAATGATGGATAGATATACCTAAATGGAATTACAGAAATGCAGAAAACAATACAAACTAATGACATGGAGTGTTAATAGAAATATTGATTATTAAATATGCCAAAGTTCAATTATGGAAATGTAAAATATATAAATTAAAAATATGGACTCACACAAATATTAGTGAAGAATAGAGTACTCACTGGTCATAATAATTATGATTAATATTTTATGAGGTATGCTTTCCATTTTTTAACTTTATTCTTTATTACTGAATGAAAAATGTTATTGTTTCATAGATCACTGCAATATTATGATTTTTTGCATTTTTTCCTTATAGAATAGAAGATCCAGGAAATAATGCATATAACTGTGTTGTATTGTTAGAGGGAAGTCTTCAATCAGATTATTGTGAAT